CGTGTTGAAATGCGTTCATTTTACATTGCCCGTCTCCTTGTGCAAAGATTGAAGGTTCCGAAACTAGGATTCGGACTACTAAGACGACGAAAAAGACAAGAAAGTGTGAATAAAAAGCTGGTGATGTATATCATTAGGGGACGCTTCTCTTAATTTTTTCTCCCAAGGAAAAGATCAAATGTGATGGAGGGAGCCAATTTCTGCGACACATCTGTCACTTTTGACTTCAGAACGACCGCGTGAGAACTACGATAAGCTGATGTCTATTTGACAAGCTGTACATCTTCCGCTTTGAGCTGTCTGAACGACCCGCCGGCCGCTGAGGGAGTCCCAAGGCACGCCTCTTGTGTCATCGGAGCGAGCAGCTCTTGTGCTAGGAGAGGAAAGAATGGCGGGGAGTTTATTTACACCCCTCTACGTCACCAAAAACATGTGTTTCTACGTGGTCACTTTTTGGAGACGGGAAATTCCTCCGTGGTTTGAGAGTACCTTTTGAGGTTTGATATGAGCGTGTGCCGACGACGGCAAAGTAAGGGGTGGGAGATTTTTTTCTTTTTGTTAGTGGGGGGGGGGGGGGGGGTGTAGTTCTCTGTTCTCTTTTTTTAAAAAGCAAAGCATTAAACATGTAGATAAGAACATGAAAAGTGAGCGTAGGAAACATGAAGGTGTTGCTCAGAAAAAGCTGGGTTGCATGTTCGCATCTCCCACTTCCTGTTTGTCTCTTGTCGCTGCCAATGTACCAAAATGTCCAGATTCTTGACTGGACTCCGTGGCTTTCTCAAGTGTGTCGTTTGCCATACAGAATCGACACCCTCATTAATACGATTTACATAATTAAAGATGCGGACAAATACATTTTGTCCTTTTCTTTCAGCAACATCTTTCAGTGCGTAAACGGTAGATGAAAAAGATGAAAAGAAAAAAAGGGGAGATTCAAGTTGCTTCGACCTGCCTGTCACGGCAAACCTAGACTCTCTGGAATATACCCCATAATAAAGGCGGAAACACTCTAGCAACTCATTGGCGACCTTCTGCTTTGAGGCAATATCATTAAAATAAAGAATTATAACTTAGTTTTTCATGCAGATATTTAAGTTCACTTTCCTTCATCTGAATCTATAAAAAAAAGAAGACAATAACTTTCATACTGTGAAATGTACAATATCAAGTTTCTGGTTGCAGCAGTTCCAAAATTTGCCTTAACATTGCATTTGGTCTCCTGCTGATCAAAATATATGTCCGCTACATCGTCTATGAGTCTGGATAAAACCTGTCATAAGTGCGCGGTGGAACTCCAGTTGAAGAGCGTAACCTTTAAATTAGGGACTCGGATGACACTGCTCTATGCTTGGCATCGGCTATCAGTATATCAAACATCAACCTCATGTGTCCTTCACCCATCGTTCTACATTATTACACACCGTAGGTCCCAAAAGGAAAGGGTGTCATCTCATCCAAATTATTATTATTTTGCAATAAATAGAACATTAAATACCGAGTCAGAGAGATCTTGTTTGTGTCCATTCTCAGATACGGCGGTAATGCATGTCCACCTTGTGTAATTTTTCAGTCACGCCGTCCTGTAAACTCACCTTGCGTTTCCCCCTAATGAAATCACGAGGCCTATTTAAAGCTTGTCAGCAAGCCCAAAATTTCCTACATGTACTCTACTTTCTTGCCCCTCCCGTATACCAACACGTTCACATTATTATACGTATTTGTATAATGTACACGTTTTTTGCTGCGCAACATTCAACTGGCTATATCCTTCTGCACGAGTAAAAGCCTGATGTGTTATGAATTTGGCTTGATTATAGACTGCATCTGTTACTGGGAATGGCAGAAGTACTGGAAAAGGTGTACATTAATCTAAAATATAATATTACGCCCATTAACAATCAGTATTTTGACTTGCACTTTAGGATAGTGATTACCAAACTTCTAGTTTGGGAAACCTAGAACATTTCAATAGAACCATAAAGTAAACGACAACAGTCTGTTTTCATGGAACTGCACTGTAAGAATACAAATAATTGGGGGGGGGGGGGATGTTCCTTTTATTGGCCGGGGGGGGGGGGGAGGGGGGAGGGTGTCTGGGTTTAAAAAAAACCGAAATTAGAAAAAGAAAATTGCTTCGGGTTTGCTCTTTCGATACTTGTATCTAGAACTGCTGCTTGTTTGTAAAAATGTTTATCTATTGGTATGAAGTTGGTTTGCAAAAATGTTGATGGTTTAAAAATACACATTTATAACTTGTCAAAATATTGCCTGAACTTCAAGGTAAGTGTACAATTTGCGCACCTCACAGAAACTGGTGCAAAGATAGGACATAACAAGATGGGCCAATCAGCCAAAAAAGTGTCCGCAGGAAGTATGCTCTTTGCTTCAGATGGCGCTGCAGTCTGTTTTGAAGCTCTCTTTCGTTTTTCCAGAAGAAGAATAGGAATAGCACCACCTTGCGTGCGCAGATCGACTGCTGTTCATCAGCAGTTCGGGTTCGTTCAGTACGGACTTTTAGTTTTTTCAAATTTTAATGACCTCTCGCCTTTCATTATAAAGTCAAATTAAACGAAGAAAACAATCACCCTTTCCTCCGGAAGAGGTTTTTTGTCAGCGTAGCCATTTTAAAAAGCGTTCTTACGAAATTCATTCAAAAACTTGCTAGTTTCACTTTGATTTTTTAAACTCAAGTAGGATAACTCTGTTCGCTAAAGGTGCGCTTTTGCGAAGAGGGCGCCAACGAATTTTGAGGACACTTTTTTAATTGGCCCAAAGAGAGAAGTGGCCCCTCTTGTTATGTAGACTCTTTGACTGGTGTTAGAATTAATATAATTATTATTCTGTTGCGTTTATTTTTCGTTCACATTTTTCCCCCAGAAAATAAAACAGACTACAAACATCGAAAAACCTCCTCCAATGCTAAGAGATGTAAGCTGAAACAACATTGACGACTGGCGGGAGATTCGTTTGTTGCTGTGGTGTGACCGGAAGTTAGTAGTTTAATTTATTTGTAAAGTTATGAGGTGAGTTTGGGAAAACCACGCAAATGGCACCCATCACTATACATCCTGAAACCATCGATTTTGAGTGCCGAGCATATTCATTGTTTTCACCCTTTTTTGGACAGAAAACCTGCACAATATTGTATTCATTAATCAGTTAATTTTGAAAGGAACATGTGGAACAGTAAAATGTGTCTCCTCGTCCATAGAAATTACTGAGCTTTAGTAAGATGTGCTACAGGCTGTTGGTTAAAAAAGTAAGATAACTGTTTTATCAATGAATATTGGGATAGAATAGGTTATTTTTTTCCAAATCAGGGTACTATGATTGTCTTGACAACCGCTGTTTAATAAAATAATTACATCGTGGACCTCAAAACATAAACAAAAAATCCATTGTTACTGCGTCGATGAGCTCGTAATGACAATCAAAGCGGAACCGATGGTGTGAAAAACTTTAATTAGCCTTTATGCACTTACGTAGGCCTACTGGACGTCTAGGTTGCGTCCTTATCCCCTACGATAACTGGGATCAGGACGTTATGGCAATGGGAGAAAAACTATACCAAAAACTAAAGATGCAAAATGAAACAAAGTAATCTGGCTAAAGAAGGAGTACACACATATGGATTTGAACTGGTGAAGGCTATCTCGCTATCTCGTTATTATCAAGTTTCACACATATAACAAGCATAGTAAGGAGTTTGTAAATCCGCAATCAAATTTGAGAAAAAACGTTTTGTTTCCATGGCTACGGCGGCCATATTGGATTTTATTGACATGTCTTACGTAATGCATACAGTGCTTGTTTTTCATGGAAATAGATTGCTTTTTTGCATACATGTTAACAAACATTAGGTCTACAAACTTGCCAGTAAAAGTTTTCCTAAACGATTTAGAAGAATTTTAATGAAATTTTTCGTGAGGAAGGATTCAAGTTTGCAACAAATCCGTGAAAATCCACACTCCATACACCGCCAAGAAAAAACTATTCCATATATAAAAAGTTTGACAGACTAGATTTTAGTATTAGATTCTACACCTTCTCTTCATTCTGTGAAATGTTCATTAAGTTTGGATGAAAAATGATGGAGCTATTTCTTAAAAGTCTATCGAAAAACCGCAATTTGAAAAAAACAGGCGATAAAGAAAATAAAAAGATTGACTTTAAGAGGAAATTGTGGTGACAAACATGCCAGGTATGGGAAGAAATAAAGGGTTTTGGAGGTTGTATTGCTATGGAATAGTTGTAGAAAACGATGAAAATGCTAAATGTGCCTATAACTCAAAATCCATAATTTTCAGCCGAATTTGGACTTTTGGGGTATAGCCTCCCCCCCCCCCCCGCGCCCCTTAAAAACAGAGGCCACGGAAGTAGCAGATCAATATAAAAATTCACCACCGAAGCGACTTTCCTTTAAAGGGAGATGAATGCAGAAATAAACACACTTCTGTCAGGAGGAAAGTAAGTGATCGGTCTTTGCGGATGAGTCTTTATTCTATTATTGAAATTTTATTTTACCTAACAGATCAGCATAATAAAGTCAACTGAAGAGGTAGGACCGCTGAATCTTTCGTCCAACCCCGATAGGGGAGGTAAGCAACAAACGGCAAACCTCCCAGAACAAAACTATTTTCAGGTTAGAATTTCTTAAAATATTGTCAGTAACAACAATTGAAAATGCAGTCAGATTGTTCTCATAACTTTCTAACGAGAATTGTGATTTGTCGTCCAAGTATATTTGATATTTAATGACAATATTTCACTGACACCTAGTTGTCAAATATTTTAATTTTAAAGATGATTTGGGATTCCAAAAGAAAGTGTGGGCATGGCAAAAATAATATGAACATTACACTATGCTGAAAGCTATGAACAAAGCCAATCTCTGCCAAAATAAAGGATATTTGTACTTTAAGGTATAAAATCAGTTTGGAAACATCATGCAGCATTAGAGTAAGGTTAATATAAAAGCTTCGTCCAGGATTAGAACTCACCAACATTGAAGTCGTCTGAGAGAGAGATAGAGAGTGTGGATCCTGCAGGTCTTCTCTGAAGCTTCCCTGTCTTCAGAGAGCCTTAAATAAGCCTTGTCCGCCCACTGTTTCCCAGGACCTGGTTCTCTCAGAGACGTGACCCACTTCATTACTCGTCCCCCAAGCGCCAACCTCACCCTCCGTATCCCAGACGCCGACTCCCGGAGTCCCGGAACAGACACGTCCGATGACAACCATCCGCATTCCACAACGCTGACAAAAATGTCTAAATAAACAATTTGATTTTAATACTGCATTTTTGTGGTTCAGTTTTTTCTTCGAACCGTAAGGGGATGTATGATAATAGAACCCATAATAAGATGTTAAAAATAGTGGCGGGGAAAAATGTCGTGACTTCTGATGTCGTCATACAAGCCTTTCCCACATACCCTGAACTTAGAACTATAGGGGTTTATCTTCTAGGACAGTTAAAGTAGATAGAGCTCTTTGTTTCCTCGAAAGCTACCCGTAGTGTTTCATGGTGTTGCTCTTCCTGGAGAAGGTTATCTCAGGTTTAGCTTGCTTGCAATGCAACCTGGAGTAGAGATAAAGAAAGAACATGGTTGAACATACACTTGTCGTTTCTTAATGTTTCGCATAGCCTATTTTCTGAAGAAAAGTTATACTTTCTATTTCAGTCCTCACCAACAGAAAAAAGGACTGTTTCAAAATAGGCAGTCGTGATAGATTACAGGAAAAGATCAAATGTTTCTGAGTTTACCCCTTTACAATCTAAGGAATCTAAGAACTTGAACAGAGCACAGCATTTGCGTCACGTTTTCTTATAAGTCAAGTCATTACATTATTTGACAAGCTAATGTTGCCGTCATCATAATATTAGATGTGAGTAACTACATGGGCTGTCCGAAAAGTAAGGAGCAGATTTTCATACATCAAAAGAGTAACAATTGCTCATTTTACGATATTGTGAGAACGGAATGCAACAGGCAATGTATACTAAGTTTTGATGCCAAAGTACTAGTTACGAACGTGTAAACATACTTTTAAGACATCGCACAAAATAAGGGGACCCTCATCGGGGAGTTGGCAACGAATGAGGCGTATGCAGTCGTAAGATTTTACAAGCGAAGTTACCCAACCCCCCCTAAAACTTTCAACATAATCGTTACTGTATGTGGCGCAAATGTATTGAGTAAAACGCTGATATTTCATTTGAGCACTTAAATGTGAGACAAATGAGCCTGGACGACAAACCGTGTTCAGAGGACCTGTTAACTTTTAGATTAGAATCAAACAACCAGAGTGTCAGTGCGCACCTCTGTGAAGATGGGTATCTGGCATGATTCCCTCAGACAGATTATGTGGGTGTCCGTTGTCAGAACATTATTCTTGACTGCTTGCCAATCTTGTACACCCCCTGTCGAAACGGTTTAGGTCTTTTAGCAGACATACAGGCTTCAGTCGATCTATCAAAGCCAAACCAGGCTTTATGAAAGCCGAAGTTCTATTACTTTTTTCACAGCTCGACTGTTCCATGTTTAGTTCTTCTGTGCTTGGCAATTTTCTATTTATTTACAGATTTATTTATTCGTTTTATTTTCCTTCTTTCTTCCCCCTTTTATTTATTTATTGATTTATTCATTTGCGTCTTAAAAAAAAAAATCTACGCTTGTTTTGTTTTCGTGTGTGTGTGTGTGGGGGGGGGGGGGGGGCTTTTGCTACAACCTGCGAATCCATTAACATGTTTGTTAAATCAACTATTTAATCACCTACGACCCACCCATAATGATCTTTTCTGTAATTGAAACAAATTGCCCCTAAAATAGTGGACTATGACATAATTTCGCCCATCAACCGATGTCTTTAGTAAAATAATATTAATCTTATTTATTTCATATGGAATCCACGATAAATAACACAAAAGACACCCTGTTGCTGACCAGAAGGGTTTGTTTTTTGTTTTTGCTGTGTTGTTGTTGTTTTTTTTTACATAGGCATGGCTGTACCCCAGCCGCTGTAGAATACATACAGTTCAATGGGTGTGTTATCCCCTAAGTATTGCAGCTGGGGTGTCAAGAGGGGCAGGAACGGGTAGAAAGGACGTGCGGGGGGAAGGGGTGCAGGAGACACCTTTCCTTTTAACCTCGTATATTGTATCGTATATTGGCGGCATAGTCACATTCTGCCGGTCTAGCTGGCGAAACTAAGTTCGACAACAGTTTGTAAGTCCTGGCACCGATACAGCTAAGAAGA